GGGGAATGCAGAGAAGTAAGAGTCGTTTTAATTATATTTTTTTKGGGGAGGTTGGTTTTTCGGGGAGGGGGCGGTTTTGGGGTGTTTTCCGCCCTTTCCGCAGCCGCAAGTGAGAGGAGTCAGCAGCATCAAAAAAGAAGCTTTTTTGCCCCAAAATGAAGCTGGAAGAGCAGGAAGGTGGCTCCAGGAGCTTCCCTTAGGAAAAAAAAAAGTAAAACCCCCCCAAAAACCCCGCGGAGGGAGGGACTGGAGCAGGCGCGGGGGGAGGGRACAATAATCATGTTTGTAGGTTTTTTTTCTCCAAAACCAGCAGCAGGAATGATAAAATTTAGACTTTTGTTCTCAAAACGAGTAAGTGTAGGAGCGAGCGATTGGGGGGAGCCTCGAAATTGAGGCAAAACCCCCCCGAATCGGCGGCGGCAGGTACCGGGCGCGCCCCTCCCCCACCCTGAGCCCCCCGGGACCCGCGCGGGGGAGGGGGAGGGGCGGCGGATTTGGGGCGATTTCGGCCGGTTTGGGGCGTCGGGAGGTGGGGGGAGCGCGGGGATCCCCCCCCGACGTGGCATGTGGGCACCTCCCGACCCCAAATCCCCCCCAAAACCGGCGGAAAACCGCGACAATCGGGCGGTTTGACCGATTCGGCCGCTTTTCCCCCCAAAGAAATGGTGCTGACAGGGTTTCTGTCTCGGGGGGGGTGTCGTGGGTGTTTTTTGCAGCCCCCGCCGGCCCTGCCCCCGCCAGAGGAGTCTCCGAGAGCCAGATTGGGGCAAAAAAACCCCAAACAGGGTCTGCAGGAACAGTAGGGAGCCAGRAATTGGTATTTGTGCCGCTTTCACCTCAAAATGGGCCGTTCCAGGGATGGAAGGGGAGGGGGAGCTTTGGGTTTGGCCGCTTTCCCTCCCAAAAAAAGATCCCAAAATTGCTAAATTTGCCTTAGAATGCGCTGCTGGCAGGGCCYGCCCCTGTGTTGGGAATTTTAACAAAAACCAGGGCTTTTTCCCCCCAAAAAAGTGCTTAGTCAGCGCCTTCGCGTGGTGCCTGGGAGGGGGAGGAGCTTTTGAACYRTTTCCCCCATATTTTTCCCCAAAGTGAAGGGATGGAGGAGCAGGTTTGGGGGACGGGGGGTTGGTGTTGTCTCTCTCCCCTCCCCACAGTGACAGTGCCAAAACCGTCTCGATTCGCCCTAAAACGGACAATTTGCTCCAAAAAAAAGACATAAAAACCTAGAAATTCCCCCAAAATAAGAGGCAGGAAAAGGTGAGCGAGCGGAGTAAGTACCAGTGGGGCCCCGGGACGCGCCGACCCCAAAATGCCCCGTTCTTAGCCCAAACTGCGAGGGGGGCGTGTGATTAACCCAAAACCCCCGTTTTCTGAGCTAATTCTGCGCCGGGGGCGCGCGATTAACCCAAAACGGCCCTTTTTGAGCCCGTTTAGCGCCGGGGACGCGCGACTGATCCTAAATCCTCGGTTCTGACCCGTTTTGCGCCCGGATCGCGCGTCTGACCCCAAATTCCCATTTCTGACCTCGTTGTGCGCYGGGGGCGCGGGATTAACCCTAAATCCCCCGGTCTGAGCCCATTTTGCGTCCCGAATCGTTATTTTGCGCCCGGGATGCGCTCGTGACCCCAAATCCTGATTTCTGAGCCTGTTTGCGCCTGGGCCGTGACTCAGACCCAAAATCCCCATTTCTCCGCCCAGATTGTGCCTGGGGCACGTGGTGGACCCCAAACCCCCCAAACTACCTGTTTTCGGGCACGCTCTGGCCCCAAATTCCTCGCATTTTGCCCCAAGTCGTGTGGGCGGGGCCAGACCAGTTTTGGGGAGGATTTTTTGGGTGTTCCTTTTTTTCTTTTTCCCCGTTTCGGGAGGTTTTTTCTTTTCCTGAGAAAACTTTTCCCTGTTTTCTCAGGTTTTGCTTTTTCTCCTCCGGACCCAAAAAGGCCAAAAAAAAAGCAAAAGGCGCTGGTGGTGGCACCCCTGGGACCCTCCCGGGGCGGGGTTCGACTCCCYGCGGCGCTGCTGCTGCTGGCCTGGGGCCTTATCACGACAGAGACCTTTCATATCATGACAGGGAGCCCCATATCGTGATAGAAACCCCAAATATCATTACAGGGACTGTGCTGTTTATCCTTCTAGATCTGGGCAACTCCTGATTCGGGGAAAAGAGTGATCTCTGTATCGCAACAGGGACATTGTATCGCGACAGGAGCCCCCATATTGCGACAGAGACCCCATTTTGTGATGAGAACCCCCCTTCCCATTTATTCACATGGCTTTGGGGACCCGTGGGGCAAGGAAGGGGTGATGTAGTGTCACGACAGGGACTCTATTGTGACAGGGCCATCCCCCACCCGTCACTTTGGCAGGGCCCCACATTGGGGAACCCATATCGTGACGGGGTCAGTGTTCTGCAGTGGCGCTCTATCACGACAGGACCCTGGATTGYGCTGAAGAGGAATATCGTCACAGGAACCCCTGTCACGACAGGGACYCTGTGTCACATCCAAGGAGTCCGGACTGCGATGGGACCCCAGTATCGTGACAGGAACCCCCATATTGTGACATGGACTCCCAGTGACCAATAAACTGCTGAATCCTGACTGGCCTGGTGTCATCCGTGGGGTCGCAGGGTGTATTTGGGGGGGGTGACCTTGGTGCATGTGACGTCATTGCCCATTCCCCGTGACGTCACAGCGGTTCAGGCGGTGTGTGCTTGGTGATGTCACCGCCGCTTCCTGCCGCGTGTCCTTCACAAGCCCCGCCCCCATATGCTGACTCCGCCCCCTTTCAGCCCCGCCCCTTGGCTCCACCTCCCCCCGTTCCCGGCCTCTCATTGGTTCCTTCAGGCCCCGCCCCGATCCCTGATTGCCTACACCCGGCCCCGCCTTTCGCTCCGCCCCCTCCCAGCCCCCGCCTCCTCATTGGCTCATTCAGACCCCGCCCCCCGGTCCGTCACCGGATCCTCCCGCCCGGCGCCGCCGCCGCTTCCTCCGGGCCCGCTCCGGCCCCGGCCCCGGCCCCGGCCCCGGGACCCCTCGGACCCCCGGGCCCCGCCGGGATCCCCGGGCCCGGCCCCGCCATGTGGCTCTTCTCCCGGGACCCGGTGCGGGATTTCCCGTTCGAGCTG